TATTTTTCCCAAATAGCATGTGTATGCAAGACATGGAAAAGCTAAGCAAAATAGTTCTTACTATTCTTACTAAAAATTTTTTTATTTTACTAAGAATAATTTGCCATTTCAGACAAAACTAAAATTTTCCCATGGTTGCTACTGTTTCTGCTTCTTGAATACTCAATTTACGGTTTGTTCTCATTGAACATGAAGATGGCATAGATAGATATAAATAACATATATAAATAAGATACAAATATAAAATTACTAAGTTTTTCTTTTTTTCTTTTGAGACCAAATCTCACTCTGTGGCCCAGGTTGGAGGGCAGTGGCACAATCCCGGCTCACTGCAACCTCTGCCTTTCTAGATGAGGTGATTCTCTTGCATCAGGCTGCCTCGGCCTCCCAAAGTGCTGGGATTACAGGTGTGAGCCACCATGCCTGGCCCTTTTACAAAATTGAAGAAATAAAAGGGTTACCCCAGCTCCAAAAAAAAGATTACACTGGAAGGAAGTCACAGATTAAGGATCAAGACTTTTGAGGTTCCAAAAGCTTCACCTATATTTTTCTTATATGTCTTTGGATATTAAAGAAAATAAGTTACATATATACAATAGAATATTATTCAGCCATTTAAAAAAAATAAAATCTTCTCATTTGTAGCAACATGGATGGAACTGGAGGTCATTATGTTATGTGAAGTAAGTCAAGCACAGAAAGACAAAACTTGGATATTCTCACTCACGTGGGAACTTAAAAAGTAGATTTCGGCCAGGTGCAGTGGCTCACACCTGTAATCCCAGCACTTTGGGAGGCCGAGGTGGGTGGATCACCTGAGGTCAGGAGTTCAAGACCAGCCTGGCCAAGATGGTGAAACCCTGTCTGTACTAAAAATACAAAAAATTAGCCGGGCGTGGTGGTGGGTGCCTGTAAATCCCAGCCACTGGGGAGGCTGAGGCAGGAGAATCACTTGAACCCAGGAGGCAGAGGTTGCAGTGAGCCGAGATCTTGCCATTGCACTGTAGTCTGGGTGACAAGAGCAAGACTCCATCTCAAAAAAAAAAAAAAAAAAAGAGTGAATCTCACGAAGATAGAGAGTAGATCGGTTGTTACCAGAGGTTGAGAGGGGAAGGGGTTGGGGGATGAAGAGAAGTAGATTAACGAGTACAAATATATGGTTTGATAGAAGAAATAAGACCTACTGTTAGATAGATTGGTAGGTGACCACAGTTGACAATATCTGTTATACATTTCAGAATAGCTAGAGGAGAATTCAAATGATTCTATTTTAAAGAAAAGAGAAATATTTAAGGTGATGGATGTCCCAAATTCACGGTTTTGATATTTATAAATTATATGAATGTATTAAATTATCACATGCACCTTGAAAGTATGTACATCTAGTATTCATCAATTAAAAAACCCCAAAAGCTCTTACTCTGTAGAAAGAGTAATTCATTGTCATTGTATTTAAATCTGATAAAGCACAATCTAAAGCAGACGCCTTTCCTCGCTGCCAACTGCAATTTTATTTATTTATTTAGAGACAGGGTCTCCCTCTGTCCCCCAGGCTGGAGTGCAGTGGCATGATTACGGTTCACTGCAGCCTCGAATTCCTGGGCTCAAGTGTTCATCCCACCTCAGGCCCCCAAGTAGCTAGGACTAATGCGCCTGCCACTACGCCCTGCTAATTAAACAATTTTTTTTTTTTTTTTCTTATAGAGACTAGGTCTCTCTATATTGCCCAGGCTGGTCACAAACTCCTGGCCTCAAATGATTTTCCTGCCTTGACCTCCCAAAGTGCTGGAATTAACAGGCATGAGCCACCACACCCAGTCTAATTTTTAAAAGTTGTCTGAGTCAGGCCAGTGGCACATGCCTGTAGTTCCAGTAACTCCAGAGGCTGAGGTGAAAAGATCCTTTGAACCAAGGACTTTGAGGCTGCAGTGAGCTATGATCTCACCACTGCACTCCAGCTTAGGCGACAGAGTGAGAACCCTACTGTGAAAAATAATAGTAGATAAAAAATTAAACAGGGTGCACAGTGGCTCACACCTGTAATCCCAGCTCTTTGAGAGGCTGAGGAAGGCAGAGCGTTTGAACCGGGGAGGCATAGGTTGCAATGAGCCGGTACAGCACCATTTCACCCCAGCCTGGGTGACAGAGGGAGACCCTGTCTCAAGAAAAAAAAAAAATTAAATTGATACTACTTTAGTGTCATGTTCTTGTTTTCTTTGACTCATAATGGGATTCAGCTAGAATTGAACTGAACACCAGAAATGACCTTTTAAGGGTAAAGTGGTATTTCATCGAGAAATACTTTATTGACATCTTCCCTATATTGCATTTTTATGGACCTTAGAAATACACAGAAGTAAAAGACAAAATGGGTTGCCCACTGTCCTCAATGGGCTGACAATCTATTTGAGAAGACAACGCATTTTATACATAGAGACATTTTCTTGTTGGATGCGCTAAAACAATGAAAGATCAAGGTAGAGTGAGAGTCTGGATGGATGTAGATTAGGTGGCACATTGCAGTTAAACAAGGAAAAGCCCTGGGTAGCATGTAGTGATAGAAAAAATGGTAGAAGGGGACAAGAGCAGTGGCTCATGCCTGTAATCCCAGCACTTTGGGAGGCTAAGGCAGGCAGATCACTTGAAGTCCTCAGTTCAAGACCAGCCTGGCCAACATGGTGAAACCCCGTCTCTACTAAAAATACAAACTTAGCCGGGCAAGGTGGCATGTGCCTGTAATCTCAGCTGCTCTGGAGGCTGACGCAGGAGAATCACTTGAACCTCGGAGGCAGAGGCTGCAGTGAGTTGAGATTGGCCACTGTACTCCAGCCCAGTGACAGAGCGAGACTCTGTCTCAAAGAGAAAAAAAAAGAATGGTGCAAGGGTAATTCACAAAGTTTATCCAGAGTGTCAAAGCTCATTCCCAGGCTCTTACCTGAACCATGGAACTATCCCAGAAATAGCAGTAAAAAGAGGCACAGGATATTCTTCACCTTCTGTGATATTTTCAATTTAGTGCATCTTTCCCTGCTGCCTCCCTCTGTCCCCCACCCACTGCTGGAGTACCGTGGTGCGATTTCAGCTCACTGCAACCTCTGCCTCCAGGGCTCAAGCCATCCTCCTGAGGCCTCCTGACAAGCTGGGACAACAGGCGTAAACCACCATGCCCGGCTGATTTTTGTTTTTTTACCTTTCACAGAGACATGGTCTCACTGTATTGCCCAGGCTGGAATTTAGTGCATCTTTATTGAAAGGATATTGCATTCATGAAATTAGCTCGTAATTTAGTGTCAAAACTGTACTTAAGTCAATCATTTTGCAGGCTATTGTACATAGTAGAAAAAGTAAGAACGCCCACTCCATCTAGAAGTTTACTGCATAGCAGGGGAGATTAGGCAAGTATAAAAATGACTAATACAAAGTAGAGTGAGGTAAGGATGAATTAACAGGATGGGAGATTATTACTGTGGCAGATTGGATTTTCCAGAAATTCCCACAGCAGTATTTTGAATCCCACATGTTCTTCCAGAATCTTGCCACAATCTCCCCTAGAAGAGGTGTCCCTAGGACTTGTGGCTGCCCCTACAAACACAATGCAGTAAAAGATGCTGGTTCAGTTCTGAGGACATCCCTTGGACGCTAGCTACCACATTGTGAGGAAGCCCGGGCCACTTGGAGAAGGCATCTGGAGGTGCTGGAGCTGACACCAGCACCCAGTGCCAGACTGGGGAGTGAGGGAGCCGCCTGATCATTCCAGTCCCCAGCCCTGGGGCTGTCCCAGCTGACCTCAAATACAGCAGAGACCCATGCAAGCTGGACCTAAATTGCATACCCCCTTGAAATATATAATTTATTTCATGGACATAGATCTGAACATTAGAACAGATTCTTGAAGCCAGTTGTGGTGGTCCATGCCTATAATCCCAGCACTTTGGGAGGCTGAGACAGCTGGATTGCTTGAGCTCAGGAGTTCGAGACCAGCATGGGCAACATAGCAAGACTCCATCTCTACAAAAAATACAAAGATCAGCTGAGTTTGATGGCGCAGACCTGCTGGTCCCAGCTACTCTGGAGGCTGAGGTGGGAAGGTCACTTGAGACTGGGAGTTCGACACAGCAGTGAGCTATGATTGTGTCACTGCACTCCATTCCAACCTGAGCCACAGAGCAAGACCAGCTCTTAAAAAAAAAAAAAAAAAGAAAGAAAGAAAAAAAGAGAACAGTGGCTTCAGGAAAATTGTTCCACGGTGGGAGGCATACGATCCTGATCTCTGTGGTGGAGAAGATGGAGGGGCCTAGCTTACGTCGAGACAGAGGAGTTCATAACTGTTAACTATACACAACGACGTGTCAAAAATTTTTACAAACTTCCAAGAGATAACGATAAGAAGGAAGCGCCCGGATGCGGTGGCTCATGCCTGTAATCCCAGCACTTTGGGGAGGCCGATAGGGGCGGATCACGAGGTCAGGAGATCGAGACCATCCTGGCTAACACGGCGAAACCTCGTCTCTACTAAGAATACAAAAAAATTAGGCAGGCGTGGTGGCAGGGCTGTAGTCCCAGCTACCTGGGAGGCTGAGGCAGGAGAATGGTGTGAACCCGGGAGGCGGAGCTTGCAGTGAGCCGAGATCGCACCACTGCACTCCAGCCTGGGCGACAGAGCGAGACTCCCGTCTCAAAAAAAAAAAAAAAAAAAAAAAAAAAAGGCAAAATAAGATTGGTTCGGTCCTGTCCGCTCTCAGCGGCTCAGCCCTAGGCCTCGCGGCCAGAACCGTGTTCCCCGCGCTACTCGGGCAGCGCCGGGATCGCGGCCTCCCCGAAGGGTGCCCAGGAGGCCTGGGTCGGCCGTGGCGCGCGAGGAAACGGCGGCTTCTCCACACTGAGCCGGGAAAGCCTATAGGGGACGAAGAACCCGGTAGCCTCGGCTTCTGCGCAGCTCCCACGCCACGCGACTGCCCGCCCGAGCCCTGCCCCCAGGCCAGCCAGCCGGGCCTCTCGGGGCGCCCGTGGTCACCATGGCAACGCAGCGGACGTCGTCCAACGGCCTGCCTGGGGGCGGGGCTGGGCCGGGCGGGCGCGCGGGTCACGTGGCGGGGGCGGAGCCTGCGCGGGGTCTGCAGGATCGCGTCGGGAGCCGGTACCGAGGCCTGAGCCGCGGGAGCCGAGCGAAGGCAGCGCCGAGGCCGCAGTTCCACCTTGGGCCTCCCCAGCAGCAGCCATGGGCAGTGAGTAGCGGCGGCTGGAGCGGGGCTCTGGCCGGGAACAGGAACGCAGGCCCCGCCTGGGCTGCGGGCGGTGAGGCCGGCGCTCGCTGGGAGTCGTGCGGACCGGGGATGCGCGGGCCGCTCTGGGCCGCTGCGGAGGGGCATGGGCCGGGGGCCTCTGCCTAGGCTCCCCTAGACGTGCGAGGCCTTGCCCGGCGGGTACCGGGACCCGGAGGCCCGGGGTTTGCGTTCGATAGAGGTCGAGGATGGCGCTGGGAGGCCATTGGTTTTGGGGGCGGGGAGTTAGGGCACCGGGTGAACCTGGACCACTTTTTAATTTTTCAGGAGTTAAAGAAATCCCGTATTTTTATTCCCTCGTCATCCTTCCTTGGCATGTTGCGTTGGATAAAGCTCCCCTAACTCGTTTAATTTTTAAAAAAGTGATGCATGGCGTGTGTTTCAGGGAGGAAAGGAGTGCGTTGGTAACAGCGTTTTCCTTAAACTATTCATTCTGTAGCGCTTACTGAAAACTGTAAGGTTGTATAAGCCTTAGGGACGAGGCCTTATGTTATAGGAATGTTTTTCAGGGCCCTCCCCCTAACACTCAACCCCACATATGTGCGCGCAACTACTTGCATAGCCCTGAAGATGTTCGTTCGTTGGATGAATGGGCCATGCATATCCAAGCAGGGCACCCATTGGCCAACTAGTGGACATTTGGGGGAAATTAGAAAGGAGTAAGAGAGGCCCTTGGTAAAATTCTGCATCACAAGGATAGACAGGGGCAGCTAAAAGCTTTGCTTGAACATGAATACCCCTTACAGATGATCATGAAGTGTCAAGAAATCTGAGTGGCTTGGATTGAGGTGGGGAGGAAAAGGGATGGAGAGGTTCTAGGAAGTCTCCTGATGTGATTGATACTTGTTTTGCGTTAGCGATGAATGCTTTCATAATTCAGATTTACTCTCCAGAAAGTCCAAAATATTAGGTTGCTGCAAAAGTAATTGCGGTTTTCAATTACTTTTCAAAAACCGCAGTTACTTTAGCACCAACCTAATAGTACTTGGGTAACAAACATCTGCCCATGACAATTAGTGAATCCTTCTGTCAAACTTCAGTGACTGGTGGGGCGCAGAGGCTCACGCCTGTAATCCCAGCACTTTGGGAGGCCGAGGAGGGCGGATAACCGGAGGTCAGAAGTTCGAGACCGGCCTGGCCAACATAATGAAACCCTGTCTCTACTAAATATAAAAATTAGCCTGGTGTGTTGGTGGGCGCCTGTAATCTCAGCTCCTCAGGAAGCTGAGGCAGGAGAATCCGTTGAACCCAGGAGACGGAGGTTGCAGTGAGCTGAGATCCTGCCACTGCACTTCAAGCCTGGGCGATAGAGCGAAACTCCAGCTTGAAACAAACAAACATCAGTGACTGCCCATCATTTGTAGAGGCTTTTAAAAAATATATATAATATGATCAACTTTAGGCAACTGCAGAAATGTAATCACTCATGTCAGCTTTAAGACAGTTTTGGGATGTTAGTATACAGAAGCCAGTTTCTGTAGGGGAAGAAGAGCCTTAGAGCCTAATTAATACCTAGCTGCGGCTTGTCTTTCTCCACGTTGCAGACCCTTTGGCAAAGGACAGAAGCTTGAGAGATTCTCATTTTCACCCTTCAGTTCTCTGGCAGGACTTGACTTAAGCCACGCCAGAAGACAGTGTCTATCCTTAAAGAACCTTGATTTATCTTACCTTTATATACTACAAGACTAGTCTGGGAAAACAATACTTTCTGATGAAATGTAATTGTAAATTCTCTGGGTTATTTTACATAAGCAGGTACTTTGATATTACCTGGGAGAGTAACCAGGCAATGAAATGTGGTCTGATGAAATGAAGCAGAGATTACATACTTTTTTTTTCTTTTTTTTTGAGACAGAGTCTCGCTCTGTCACCCAGGCTGGAGTGCAGTGGCAGGAGCTCGGCTTACTGCAAGCTCCACCTCCTGGGTTTACGCCATTCTCCTGCCTCAGTCTCCTGAGTAGCTGGGACTACAGGCACCCGCTACCACACCCCATTAATTTGTTTTTTGTATTTTTAGTAGAGACGGGGTTTCACGTGTTAGCCAGGATGGTCTCGATCTCCTGACCTTGTGACTGCCCACCTTGGCCTCCCAAAGTGCTAGGATTACAGGCGTGAGCCACTGTGCCTGGCCTACATACTTTAAAAAGTTAACTATAGGGGCCGGATGCCGTGGCTCACGCCTGTAATCCCAGCACTTTGGGAGGCCGAGATGGGTGGATCACGAGGTCAGGAGTTCGAGACCAGCCTCACCAACGTGGTGAAACCTTGTCTCTACTAAAATACAAAAATTAGCCAGGCATGGTGCTGCGCACCTATATTCCCAGCTACTCAGGAGGCTGAGGTAGGAGAATTGCTTGAATGCAGCGGGGCGGAGCTTGCAGTGAGCCGAGATGGCACCACTGCACTCCAGCCTGGGCGACAGAGGGAGAATCTGTCTCAAAAACGAAACAAAACAAAACAAAAACAGCTAACTGTAGGGGCCAGGTGCCATGGTTCATGCCTGTAATCCCAGCACTTTGGGAGGCTGAGATGGGAGGATCACTTGATGTTAGGAGTTTGAGACAAGCCTGGCCACCATGGTGAAATCCCATCTGTAGTAAAAATACAAAAATTAGCCAGGCATGGTGACACGTGCCTGTAATCCCAGCTACTCAGGAGGCTGAGGCAGGAGAATCACTTGAACCTGGGAGGTGGAGATTGCACTGAGCGGAGATCGTGCCACTGAACTTCAGCCTGGGCAACACAGCGAGACACTGTCTCAAAAAAAAAAGTTGACTATAGGAGGTGATTGCATGATTTTTTTGTCACCTACGCATTTCGGCATCTTTCAGTTGTTTAAACCAGTTCTCTGCAGAAGAGCCCATTTCCTGTTGTACTTCCTGAGTGCAGAAGACACCCTCCTGTCTTCCTCCTCTGATACCTGCTTTCTTCTATCATGCATTGTCTCATGGGTACCACGGTAGAGTACATTTGCTCCCTTTTTGACGTCATGATGCCCTTTGAGCAGCCCCCTTTCTCTGTATATAAAATGATTGGATACAAGTGTGAGGAAGTAAAGTTCTGGAAAAAGATTGCTTGGATTGCTTTGCTTCTACTGACTAGCCATCAAACCGTTTGGACTTTTTTGTCCCTTCTATGATATCTCTTCCTTTATGTATCATTTGAAGTGGAGAACAGTATGATTATTTAATTTGAGGCTGTAAGGATGGGGTGAATTGCTGGTGAAAGAGAATATTTGATTCTCTAGAAAGATTTTTTTAACTTTGTAATAATAGGGACATTTATTCTTTTTCTTTTTACAGTCAAATTTTTAGAAGTTATCAAACCGTTCTGTGCAGTTCTACCAGAAATTCAGAAACCAGAAAGGAAAGTAAGTATAAGATTTTAGTAATATAGAGGGTAGCTCAAGGACTTATCCTACTAAACCAGGAAAATTCATTTCCTTTCCTCAGTCCTTCTCTGTTGGTAATTGGAAAACTATTAGTGCTCATCCTCCTTGCAAGAGGCACCAAGTGAATAAAACTAATATAAATCTGTTTAAATCTAGATAGATTATCTCATGCTTTCAAAAATGACTGTTCTTTAAGTTGTGACGTTTCCAAACTAAGTGTTTCTTCGGCCTGTGTGTTAGTTAAGACAGAGTATTCTCCTGTCTGTAGTGATCCTTCATAAATCCTGTAGTATAGGGTGTGTATTGTGTTTGCTAATGATGTGACCTACTGGACTAGAAATAGCCGGGTCCGCTGGATAGGATTTGATGAGTACGGCTGTTTTATGTAAATGAATTGCATTTGTGCAAATACAAACCTCCCATTTCTTGATTCATTCATTGGAAAGAAAAATGACAGGAATGTATTCAGAAGATACTGTGCCTGGGTGAAATCGTTCTTCTATCATTGCAAACTTTCAGAGTTAAGGTATTTAAATTCTGGAAATATTGTTAATTCTAGATTGGCCAGTTGCTAGAAATTCTTCATCAAACTACAAATTTCTCCTTAAACTAATAGGAATAGGGATATAGAGATAGGTTAAAAATTTTTAAACTTACTATTTGATTTAGAAGTATTTATTTATTTATTTATTTGGGATGGAGTCTCGCTCTGCCGCCCAGGCTGGAGTGCAGTGGTGCGATCTCAGCTCACTACAAGCTCCACCTCCTGGGTTCACACCATTCTCCTGCCTCAGCCTCCCGAGTAGCTGGGACTACAGGCACCCGCCACCATGCCCGGCTAATTTTTTAATATATTTAGTAAAGATGGGGTTTCGCCATGTTAGCCAGGATGGTCTCGATCTCCTGACCTCTTGATCCACCTGTCTCGGCCTCCCAAAGTGCTGGGATTACAGGCATGAGCCACTGCACCTGGCTAGAAGTATTTTTTTATTGCTTTGAGTTTGTAAAAATAGTTGTTCCATTTACATTTAAGGCATCCTGAGAAACCCTGGCTTTGCAATCTATAAAATATTCATATGGCACTGTCACCAGCAGGCCTACCTTCGCACAGTGCAGTGTTCACCGAGTCACGTGCACATTGGATCTCTGTTTTGCTTTGGCTCCTTTTCAGTTTCATTTAACACCATACAATGCAGATGAGAACTGCCTGTATTTAAATTACCTTTTTTATGAAAAGTAAACAAACTTGTATTCAGGAAGTTCAGCTGTTTGTTGTAGCTGCTACTAAGGTGAAAGGGATATTAAAAAACAATCTAGGCCGGCACCGTGGCTCACACCTGTAATCCCAGCACTTTGGGAGGCCGAGGCCGGTGGTCAAGATACAGAGACCATCCTCGCCAACATGGTGAAACCCTGACTCTACTAAAAATACAAAAAAGTTAGCTGGGCGTGGTGATGTGCCTGTAGTCCCAGTTTCTCGGGAGGCTGAGGCAGGAGAATTGCTTGAACCTGGTGGGGCAGAGGTTGCAGTGAGCCAAGATTGCACCACTGCACTCCAACCTGGGCAACAGGGCGAGGCTCTGTCTCAAAAAAAAAAAAAAAAAAAGTGTGTGTGTATATATATATATATGTGTGTGTGTGTATGTATATATATACACACACGTATATATATATATGTGTGTGTATGTATATATATACACACGTATATATATGTGTGTGTATGTATATATATACACACACGTATATATATATACGTGTGTGTATGTATATATATACACACACATATATATATTTCCTAAGATGGTACTTCAAAAAGGGGCATTTAAGAGTGTAGAATAGGATGTCACGATGGAGAACACTAATTATGTTTTTGTGTGGATTTGTGCTTTCAATTTGCTGTTTCGAAAACCAAACACTGAATGTTCTTACTCATAAATGGGAGTTGAACAGTGAGAACACATGGACACAGGGAGGGGAACATCATACACTGTGGGGGCCTGTCGGAGGTTGGGGGAAAGGGGAGGGAGAGCATTAGGACAAATACCTAATGCATGCGGGGCTTTAAACCTAGATGGCGAGCTGATAGGTGCAGCAAACCACCATGGCACATGTCTGCCTAAGTAACACACCAGCACGTTCAGCACATGTATCCTAGAACTTAAAGTAAAATTGGAAATAATAATAATAAAATCAAAATATTTAAGGTAAAAATTTTGAAGTAAAAGAGAAACTGAAAAATCTAGATTTGAAAATTCTTCCCTCAGTAGATTTTAAAAATATAAATATAGGCCAGGCGCGGTGGCTCAAGCCTGTAATCCCAGCACTTTGGGAGGCCGAGACGGGTGGATTACAAGGTCAGGAGATCGAGACCATCCTGGCTAACACGGTGAAACCCCGTCTCTACTAAAAATACAAAAAATTAGCCGGGCGTGGTGGCGGGCGCCTGTAGTCCCAGCTACTTGGGAGGCTGAGGCAGGAGAAAAAAAAAAAAGGCAAATATAAGAGAGCTTAATTTTTTAGAATATATTTATCTTTTTAAATTTGTTTTGTTACATGGATGTATTGTGTAGTGGCAGTCTGGGCTTTGAGTGTATCCACCACCCAAATAATATTCATTGTACACGTTAAGTAATTTCTCATCATCCATCTTTTCCTGCCACCTTTGTACCCTTTGGAGTCTCCACTGTCTATCATTCCATACTCTGTGTCCCTGTGTGCACATTGTTTATCTCCTACTTTTTTTTTTTTTTTTTGAGATGGAGTCTTGCTCTGTCACCCAGGCTGGAGTGTAGTGGCACAATCTCCGCTTACTCCAAGCTCCGCCTCCTGGCTTCACACCATTCTCCTGCCTCAGCCTCCTGAGTAACTGGGACTACAGGTGGTGGCCAGCAAGCCCAGCTAATTTTTTGTAGTTTTAGTGGAGACAGGGTTTCACCTTGTTAGCCAGGATGGTCTCGATCTCCTGACCTCGTGATCCGCCCAGCTCGGCCTCCCAAAGTGCTGGGATTACAGGCATGAGCCACCGTGCCAGACCTAGCTCCTACTTTTTTTTTTTTTTGAGACGGAGTTTCGCTCTTGTCTCCCAGGCTGGAGTGCAGTGGCGTGATCTTGGCTCACTGCAACCTCCACCTCCCGGATTCAAGCAGTTCTGCCTCAGCCTCCTGAGCAGCTAGGATTACAGGCATGCACCATCACACCTGGCTAATATATATATATATATATATATTTTTTTTTTTTTTTGTATTTTTAGAGAGATGGGGTTTCACCATGTTGGTCAGGCTGGTCTTGAACTCCTGACCTGGTGATCCGCCCACCTTGGCTTTCTGAAGTGCTGGGATTACAGGCGTGAGCCACTGTGCCCGGCTAGCTGCTACTTTTAAGTGAGAACCGACAGTGTTTGATTTTCCACTTCTGAGTAATTTCACTTAAGATAATCTCCTCCAGTTTCATCCAGGTTGCTGCAAGGGACATGGTTTAATTCTTTCCATGGCTCAAAAGTATTTCATTATTTACAAATAGCATATCTTCTTTATCCAGTCATCAAGAAGCATCTGTGGGCCAGGCACGGTGGCTCATGCCTATAATCCCAGTAGTATGGGAGGCCAAGGCGCGTGGATCACAAGGTCAAGAGATCGAAACCATCCTGTGAATGATGAAACCTTGTCTCCAAAATACAAAAAATTAGCCGGGCGTGGTGGCGGGTGTCTGTAGTCACAGCTACTCGGGAGGCTGAGGCAGGAGAGTGGCGTAAACCCGGGAGGCGGAGCTTGCAGTGAGCCAAGATCGTGCCACTGCACTCCAACCTGGGCGACAGAGCGAGACTCCGTCTCAAAAAAAAAAAAAAAAAAAGCATCTGTGCGTGTGTGTGTGTGTGTGTGTGTGTATGAGAGAGAAAAAAATGTTTATAGAACTTTGTACCTATTAAACAAAAATGCTTCCTTTATTAACACATACAGACATTCCCAACTTCTGTGAATTAGGCCCCAAAGAAGAACCTCAAAAATCCACCCCCACAAAAAATATTTGCTGTTTCTTGGTTTTGATTGATGATTCTTTTTGTTTTGTTGTACAGATCCAGTTTAGAGAGAAGGTTCTATGGACTGCTATAACGCTCTTCATTTTCTTAGTATGTTGTCAGGTATGTAATTATACTGTTAAATAAATGTCTCTACCATTGTTCTAAGGTCTTGATTGGTTAGAATTTGAGAATTTTTTTTTTGTTAAAATAAAAAATACATTGAGCTCAATATATTGAGCATTATTATCCTTTTAATTTTTTATTATTAATTTTTATTTGAGATGGAGTCTCACTGTCACCCAAGCTAGATGCAGAGGCATGATCTCGACTCACTGCAACCTCTGCCTCCTGGGTTCAAGTGATTCTTCTTCCTTGGCCTCCCAAATCTCGAACTCCTGACCTCAAGCTATCCGCCTTCTTCAGCCTCCCAAAGTGCTGACATTATAGGCATGAGCCACCGCGCCCAGCCAAATTTTTGTATTTTTAGTAGAGATGGGGTTTTCTTGTGTTGGTCAGGCTTATCTCGAACTCCTGACCTCAGGTGATCTACCTGCCTCAGCCTGCCAAATTGCTGGGATTACAGGCGTGAGCCACTGTACCCTTTTTTATCTGGCAATTTTTTGTTTTTAAATGAGATGGGGTCTCTATGTTGCCCAGGCTGGTCTGCAGCTCCTAGGCTCAGGTGATCCTCCTGCCTCAGCCTCCCTAGTACATAGGCCAGCAGGTGTGCCCCACCATGCCAGGCTAATTTTTAAATTCTTTTGCAGGGAAAGGGTCACACTAAAACCAAGTTTTTAAAATCTTGGGTTGTACTATGTTTAAAAATTACTAAAACTCGATGATAGTGTTTTTTTGTTTTTGTTTTTTGGTTTCTTTTTTGAGACAAGGTCTCACTCTGTCACTCAGGCTAGAGTGATCACTTCAGCCTCGACTTCCTCAAACCCAGGTGATCTACCCATCTCAGCCTTCTGACTAGCTGGCACTACCGGCACGAACCACCACACCCAGTTAATTTTTTTGGTATTTTTTGTAGAGGGGGTTTTGCCATGTTGCCCAGGCTGGTCTTGAATTCCTGGGCTCAAGCCATCCATCTACCTCTGTCTCCCACAGGGCTGGGATTACACGCCTGAGCCATCACACCCAGCCCAATGATACTTTCAAATAAAATTTTGCAGACATACTAAGTTCACAGTGTGAGTATGAAATGTGATCTGCCTATGTTTTAGGGTTGTTGTAAAGATTAAATAAGATAACTTAGGTCAAGGTGGATGGGCACGATGGCTCATGCTTATAATCCCAGCACTTTGGCAGGCCAAGGCAGGCAGATTACTTGACATCAGGAGTTGAGACCAGTCTGGTCAACATGGTGAAACCCTGTCTCTACCAAAAATACAAAAATTAGCTGGGCATGGTGGTGTGCACATGTAATCCCAGCTACTCAGGAGGCTGAGGCAGGAGAATCACTTGAACCCAGGAAGTGGAGGTTGCAGTGAGCCGAGATCACGCCACTGCACTCTAACCTGGGCAACAGAGCGAGTTGCCATCTCAAATAAATAAATGAATAAAAACCAGATAATTTAGGTCAAGGTTTTTTGGGGAGTTTGAAAAGCTATTAAAATACTTGTAAGAACTTTTAAAAAATTATATTAGGAAGCAGTAGTACAGATTAGGTACCTAATCTGGAGAAAAACTAACTATATTTACTTTCTGAAAAATGAAATGATCTGATAATTAAAGTACTTTTACTACTGTACTTGCTTTAAATTTGTTTTAAATGGTCAGGGAGAGAAGTTTAAAGAAACAAAGAAAAATACAAAGAAAAAAAGAATAGTCATCCACATTTCTACCATTTACTTTCAGCATCTTAGAAACTCCTCTCCCACCATTAAAAAAAAAGTCAACCTTGTGGAGGTATAATACATATATGGTAAAGTGCACCTGTTTTTAGGCATACGTTTTGGAGAGTTTTGACAAATTTGTGCACCCACGTAACTACAGCCTCTGTGGATATAGAGCATTTCTGCCACCCCCAAAGTTCACTGTAACCTTTCTCAGTGAATCTCCACAGGCCCAGGCCGCCACTGATCTACATCTTGTTACTCTACTTTGATTTGTTTTTTCTAGAGCTTCATATAAATAGAATCATACAGTAGTATTCTTTAGTGTCTGATGTCATCATCACCTTTTTGAGATTAATTCATATAGTCATTACATCAGTAATTCATTCCTTTGTATTTCTGAATACTGTTCTAATGTATGAGGTTATCACAGTTTATTCATTCATTCACTTGTTAGACATTTGGGTTGTTTCCAGATTTTTGCTACAACAAATTAATTTGCTGTGAACACTGATGAATACGTATTTCTGTGGATATTTTTCATGGGTGAGTACTTAGGAGTACAGTTGTGGGGTTTATAGTAAGTGTATGCTTAACTTTATCAGAAATTGTCAGCTCTTTTCTAAGTGGTTGCCCCGTTTTGCTTGCTTGTTTGTTTGTTTGTTTTTTTGGAGACAGAGTCTCGCTCTGTCGCCCAGGCTGGAGTGCAGTGGCGCGATCTCGGCTCACTGCAAGCTCCGCCTCCCGGTTTCAGCGATTTTCCTGTCTCAGCCTCTGGAGTACCTGGGATTACAGGCATGTGCTATTATGCCCAGCTAATTTTTGTATTTTTCATAGAGCTGGGGTTTCACCATGTTGGACAGGCTGGTCTTGAACTCCTGACCTCAGGTGATCTGCCTGCCTCAGCCTTCCAAAGTGCTGGGATTACAAGCATGAGCCATGACGCCTAGCTCTTGGTTGCCCCATTTTGTGTTTCCACCAGCCGTGTTTTGGAGTTCCAGTTGATCTGTATCCTGGTCTACTTTTGTTATTTTTGATTATTTGAATAGTAGTCACCTTGCCGGGCGCAGTGGCTCACTCCTGTAATCCCAGCACTTTGGAAGGCTGAGGCTGGTGGATCACCTGAAGTTGGGAGTTCAAGACCAGCCTGACCAACATGGAGAAACCCCGTCTCTACTAAAAATACAAAATTGAACTGGAAGCGGTGGCTCATGCCTATAATCCCAGCACTTTGGGAGGCTGAGGCGGGCAGATCACGAGGTCAGGAGATCGAGACCATCCTGGCTGACATGGTGAAACCCCGTCTTTACTAAAAATACAAAAAATTAGGTGGGCATGGTGGCGGGCGCCTGTAGTCCCAGCTACTCGGGGTGCTGAGGCAGGAGAATAGCGTGAACCCAGGAGGCGGAGCTTGCAGTGAGCCGAGATTGAGCCACTGCACTCCAGCCTGGGAAACAGAGCGAGACTCCGTCTCAAAAAAAAAAAAAAACAAACAAAAAAACACACAAAATTGGCCAGGCATGGTGGCAAATACCTGTAATCCCAGCTACTTGGGAGGCTGACGCAAGAGAATCACTTGAACCCGGGAAGCGGAGGTTGCGGTGAGCCGAGATGGCGCCATTGCACTCCAGCCTGGGTAACAAGAGCGAAACTCCATCTCAAAACAAACAAACAGAAAAATATTAGTCATCCTAAGGCGTGTGGTTTTAATTTGCATTTCCCTGATAAATGCTATTGAGCAACATCTTCATATGCCTATGAGTGCTTGTTTATTTATCAGAAGAGTAAAGTGTCAGATTTGTAAAGTGTCTTTGCAAATCTTTTGCCTATTTAAAAAATTGATTATTGTCTCATCATTGAATTATAAAATTTTTACATTTTCTGGATACAAGTCCTTTGTTAGATGTGTATATTAGGAATTATTTCTCCCAGTCTGTGGCCTGCCTTTTTTCTTAACAGTATCTTTTGAAGAACAGAAGTTTAAACATTTTATTTTATTTTTTTTATATTTTTTCAGAGACAGACTCTTGCCATGTGGCCCAGGCTGTCCTCGAACTCCTGGGCTCAAGCAATCCTCCTGCTTCAGCCTCTTGAGTAGCTGGGACTACAGGCGAGTGCCACTGTGCCCAGCAGGAGTTTTAAATTTTGATGAAGTTTAGTTTATGTTTTCTTTGTTCCTTGGATGGCTTAGAGTTTTTGCTTCCTAAGGAATTTTTGCCTATTCTAATGTCATGAAGATTGTCTTCTGTGTTCTTCCAGACATTTTATAGTTTTAGCTTGTATGTTTTGGTCTGTGATCTCTTCCAAGGTAATTTTTATGTGTGGCGTGAGGTAAGGGTTGATTTTCATTTCCTTTTACATGAGTATCCAGCACCGTTTGCTGAGAAAAATTCCCCATTGAATTACTCAGGCCTCTTTGCTGAAAATTGGTTAACCATATAAGCACGAGTCTGTTCTGTGCTCTCTATTGATCTATGTGTGTGTCCATCCTGCTGTAAGCCACTTCTTAGTAAGTCCTGAAATCAGTTTGCAATCATTACTCCAGCTTTGTTCTTCTTTTTCAGAATTGTTGTGGCTATTCTAGATCCTTCATATTTCCATTTAGATTTTAAAATCGACTTGTCGATTTCCACAAGAAAGTCTGCTGGGATTATCATTCGTGTTACTTTGAATTTATAGGTCAATTTAAGAGAATTACCATATTGACAGTATTGAATCTTCTAATCCAGGGCTCAGTGAATTTTTTTCTGTCAAGGTTCAGATAATAAATATTTTGGGCTTTGCTACTAAAGTTTAAGAATCCAAGAAGAAAACAGAAAGAATGACATTTCGCATGCCTGTTTCTTTTTTTTTGATTCTCCTTCCTCGGCCTTTAGAGTAGCTGGGACAACCGGCACGAGCCACCATGCCCAGCTAATTTTTTTGTATTTTTAGTAGAGATGGGGTTTTACCACGTTGGGCAGACAGGTCTTGAACTCCTGACCTCGAGTGATCTGCCCACCTTGGCCTCCCAGAGTGCTGGGATTATAGGCGTGAGCCACTGCGCCCAGCCTCACATGACTGTTTCATGTAGTAAATTAATTTATGCATCTTAGGTTACATTATTTCTTCTCTAATACGTTTATATAGTTGCCAAACTGTTTCTTTTCATCTTTCTCATGCTTAGGCAGCTCTGCCTCATGTGGGAGATTTCTTTTTTTTTTCTTTTTTTTTTTTTTTCCTTCTTTCCAACTGTTATTTTGGGTTCAAGGGGTACATGTGCAAGTTTATCACCTGGGTAAA